AGCAGTAGTAGTAGTACAAGTAGTAGTAGTAGTAGTAGTAGTAGTAGTAGTAGTAGTAGTAGTACACGTAGTAGTAGTAGTAGTAGTAGTAGTAGTAGTAGTAGTACACGTAGTACACGTAGTAGTAGTAGTAGTAGTAGTAGTAGTAGTAGTAGTAGTGGTAGTAGTAGTACAAGTAGTAGTAGTAGTAGTAGTAGTAGCAGCAGCAGCAGCAGCAGCAGTAGTAGTAGTAGTACAAGTAGTAGTACAAGTAGTAGTAGTAGTAGTAGTAGTAGTAGTAGTAGTACAAGTAGTAGTAGCAGTAGTAGTAGTAGTAGTAGTAGTAGTAGTAGTATCGAGTTTTTCGTCTTAGCGTTGTTGCCTTTATTCGCGTCTGGCGGGCTTTTCGTGTTGTTTTCGACGTTTCGTGTTTTTCAACTTTTTGCGCGCCGACTCCGGTTCTGCACGACACGCAAAAGGCTCGCTTAGCGATCCTGGTGAGGTAACGATGCATGGGTCCAGACTCACACCACCACAGCGTCCCTTCCTGTAACTTTACTAATGAAATCCTTGTACTCAGTGTAGTTCCTGACATACACAGGAACACCCCTAACGGCCCTTGGGAATTACCCGACTCCCACCCCATCAGCGACTACACGCATTCTGTATCCGAAGCGTTCACGCTTCACTGCTGGGCAACTCCCAACTTCATGCCCCAATTCATCTTCTTTCTAAGAATACACCATACCAAACTCGTCAGTCCAAGCCGAATCGGCATCAGTTGATCCGGTAGGGCATGTTAGAGGTTGCATTTGCCGAGCTTGCTTCTGGCTCATGCAAAGCATTTCAAGCTAGTAGTGCCTGCCTGCGTCCGTATCATGACCACTCTCCGTGACAATGTATGACTCAGACGTTTCTGACCGCGATTCCATGAGTGCTGCTTGATTCAAGCTTCGTGAACCTTGCCTCGACCCTCGAACCCGCTCTCTACAACACGAGCAGTTGCAAGACCTGTCCGTGATGTCGGATGAACTTTGGCTTCTTCCGAGAGTCCTTCCCTGAACCAAAACTATAATTCCCCATGACACGTCCTCCCTTCGTTTAGGATCGTGCAGGCCAGTTTTTGTTAGATTTTTGATGGTGCTGATTCTGACGCAGTGGAGTGGAGCCAGTGTTTGATGTGCGGATGCTGAAGCTTGCACATAAATGCCGTGAACAAATTGCGTCGTCTGACCTGTTGCAAGTTGCGGGCATGGCATGGCGCTCTTTAAAGCTTCGGACAGCCTTCCCGGCAGGTTCCTTGCCACACTCGTTGGCATCCTGCACGATGGCCCTGTGCCTGCCATCGACAGTGGGCATCTGAGAGAGTTGTTTACGGGTACCGGATGCAACGCCTAACGTGCTTCACAGGCCGTGGCCTAAACGAGACTCCTCCGCCACAGGAGGCAGAGCACATGCCCCAATTAGACCACGCTCCAAACTCGCCGTCCTCAGCTCAGAGCGAACTCGAATGTCAAGTGGATGAAAAGACATGCATCCAATGCACAATGCAGTGGTCTTCATGACATTTCTGCATGTTGCAGGGCTCGATCTCCTCCTTGTCCTGGCACGACGGAGCCCGAAACCCCTCACGAGAAGAAAATGTGCGCTCGGCCGGTTGGAAAGGCCGAGAATACAAGTCATTTTCGGGAACGTGTCCATTGCGTGCCGTGGCCACTTCAGTGACACTTGTCTCCTTGGCTTGGCAAGGTTCGCCACCATGACTGGGCATTCGGCGAACGGATCGGTCTCGTGTCCTGCTGTTACATGCTAGATCCACACATCGAAGCTAGCGGGAAGTGCAGAGGGCACCTCTGGCCACCCCCACAAGTGCAGGTGCAGTCGCTCCAATCCTCAGTCTCTCTACGAGGCCGACGAGGCCGACACCGAACTGTTGACAGAGTCTGCTCTTCGTTGCCCTTCTCCGACTAGGTGACTGAGGCTGCGCACCGACCAGTGATGCCACTCGCAGTCATACTTCTCACAGGGTAGGTTGTTAGCCTCAGGTCCCATGTTCTCGCTTCGTGCCAGTGATCCAAGCAAAAAACATGATCCAAGCGGCACAAGGTCTTGTCTGTGCCAGGTCGGCAGTGATGCCTTCTCCCCCCTCACCGCGAAGGGCTAGAACCTGCCGCTTGCGCGCCTGATGACAGCAACTCTCAAGGCAACCTCTGCATGTCAGCTTCACGCACCTGGTTCGCGGGACCACACGTCGTGGAGCATTGGCTCCAATCCGTCCAGTCACTGATCTCGGCATCCTTCGAAGAGGGATTCAATGCTTCGAGGGCTCGAGAATCGGCACTCCAAATCTCCAAATTTTCCGAGCCTTGGATTCACAGGCCTGCAACGTACAGCCTGCAACAAGGCCCGGCTCCCTTTCTTTCCCCCTTCCTGTCTCCCTTCGGCTCCGACCACGGGTTTGAAGTAGTTCTTGTGGACAGGTCGCCCCATTGTTCTTTGGAAACCTCTCGACCTGCCATGACAGGAAACCCAGGCATATGTGTTGGACTCTGTGCACCGCACCTGACGCTGCCTTTGCGACTGGCCACCTCCGCAGGTCCGGTCCTGAAGCACCAGAAGAACGCCCTAGCAGGCCATCGTCGTCTAGACGATAAGCACATGGCACATACGGACCAGGAAGTCCATGATGACATTTGGCAGTCAACCTGAGAAGGAAAGGCAAATTTGCCTGCACAGCTGCAGCACGTTTGCAAACACAGCCCATACGAAGCTTGAAGATGACTTAGTCCAGGACCTTCTCTTCGTGCCCCGTTTCCGTTTCATGCAGCGGCCTTCGCAGTTGGCTGCTGCAAGGGCTATTTCAAGTTGACAAGTCTGCTCTGTTCGCAGGCTGACTGAGTTTCAAGGCCCGTTGCAAGGAGTTCCACCACCGGAAGCAGGAACTGCCACCTAGTGATTGCTAGAGTCCGCTAGATGGCCCAAAATGCAGCGAACCGCGGCGAAGGCCTTTCTGGTTCGAAACCTCTGGTTGTCCCCGTCAAGACCGGACCTGGCAGGCATTGCACCTCCGCATCCCTACCTCGTGCCATGTTCTGATGGTTTTTCGGGGCTGAGGATGGCTGACCACTCCGTCCACGATTCGAACTCGCAGTCATGACCTCGAAAACAGGACAACGACAGCGTACGAGTTTGAGCACCTGCTTCCGAACAACCGAACAAGAAAGCCGGCAGGTCAACTGACAACGACGTAACAGGATCTGCAGTCTCACGAGGCAAGCCGGCCAAGCACCAAGACTCTGCCGAGCTGCTCGAGCCACAGGCCTAGGGGACAATGTTGCAGAAGCTCCGTGGAACTTCACACACTGCAAGCATTTGCAAGCATTTGCAAGCCTTGTCGGGCTTCGTCATATCAAGCGGGTCAGTGCCACAACCTCCAATCTCCTGAGGCTCTGGGATTCGGCTTGCTCTCACTGCAATCGGACAAACCGAATGCAGAATCAAGGAAAGCCACTCAGCACAACGTCATAGACCATCGCTGAAAGCGTTGCTTTGCCATTCTGCATGTGAAATCCAACCAGCTTACAACAATGCACCGCAGGCACAGTCAGCAACAGCTTTTGCAGACACAAAGTTGCACCCGCGAAGCTTCGCCAGTAAGAGGTACACGAAAATCAATAGTCACTAACTTACGCATTCGAGCTCCTCGATGAAAGGCTCGGCATTACTCGACACTTGGAATGAGTCTCGAGCTCCACGCAACCCAGGAGAACATGCAGCCACCGCAAGAATCATTCGCTTCGTTCCGGCCATGCGGAAAAGTGTTTCTGGTTGCTTTGTGCAGCTTTGGATAGTTGCACAAACCGGGCTAATAAGCAAAAGACTTGGCGCGTCCTCGGCTTTCGAGAAGATACAGATGAGAGTCCAACGTGCCAAGATCACGTGCGCTTCACCGCTCTCAACATCTCTCAACTGTCGGGCCGGCTTTTTGCCATAATTGTTTTGTTGCTCAGTCGTACCATTCTCGATCTGTTGTCTGTGCACCTGCGACTCTCCTTGACGGCCTGAATTGCGTGATTTTCGCTCTTCTTACGTGAGGAGACCAAGCAGCCGTTCGAGCATATCCAACCTCCCCGAGTTGTTTCATCTCACACACTCACAGAGCGACAGTTCTGCATGACCTCAAGTATCCATCGAACCGGAAGCTATCAAATAGGAGATAACAAGATCCGAATGGGAGATGGAGGTCAGGTTGTGGCCAGAATTTAAGTTCCAAGAGCCTGCGGGCACAGGCTAGTGTCCAAAATCATAGGCAAATGAAGGCTGCGAGTCCTGCAAGGGCCCGGTGCACTGCTGCCCGTTGCCCTGGGCAGGGATCATTACCTGCAGCATCCGGCAGCTCCACGGAATGGGATCCGGAAAAGGTTTCGACCAATCGAGCACCTGCCGGCTCCGCATCTTCCATCCGCGACCGCCTAATCAGGTCTTGAATCACACTAGTGCGACATCGCGGGAGATCTTCTGAGAAGCTAGCACGAGTGGCTGCACACTCCCCAGCTGCTCCACTTAGACAGGATGCAGTCCGTGTCCTCCTACAGCCATCACGAAATTTCCACGCTCGCTTCAAGTTGCACCGAGATCCATCTGGTAACATCAAACACCACGGAACTAGGAAGCAGGCAGATGATTCTTTGCAAGTAGTTGTCTCCCCTAAGAACATCGTCCAGGGCGATGCGTGCGGTTGCTTGCTTCAGAGTCTAATGCTACCAGGTGGCGAAGGCTTCCTTCACATGGCACACCACCATTCTTGGGCTTGCTCAGAACCTGGTGGCAAATATGGGCCAAGTTACAACAAATGGCATAGCGACCAAGAAAGCCAGGAGCAAAGTCGTTGCAAACTACTAGCGGCGCGTGCAAAACAGTTGGCCTAGCCATTTGGCGCCATCTCAAGAAAAGGTCTACAGCTGGGTCCTATTAGGCATCTACCCGTCTTTG